CCCTAAACCCTAAACCCTAAACCCTAAACCCTAAACCCTAAACCCCATCCCTCGGAATTGCCTGATTCACCTGGTTCGACTGATGGCTCATGCCTGAGGGCTGTTTTAAATTGCTGTACTTCATGGCTTCTTAGGCATTTCAGGTATCGCATTATGAGAAGGAACTGAGCTGGGTATGAATTCGTGTTCGTGTTGTCCGGGTACTTCGACAGCCTCACTCGTCTCAACCTCCTCAACAATATAGGGGCCCAAATAATTGCCTCTACTATTTTGGGGGTTCCCTATTATAAATATAGAACAGTGGGCCCCAAAGCCCTATTCTACTTATTCAGGCCCTTACATTATGCATTCCCACCCTAAACCCTAAGCCCTAAGCCCTAAACCCTAAACCCTAAACCCTAAACCCTAAACCCTAAACCCTAAACCCTAAACCCACTCCGAGTATCCCACTTCCACCGGCCAAGCCCTACATCTCCAGCAGCTCTTGGTGTAAGGCCCCCAACGGTCAGTGTTTTGGGGGGTTTAGGGTTTAGGGTTTAGGGTTTAAGGGTTTAGGGTTTAGGGTTTAGGGTTTAGGGTTTAGGGAAAATTCTAACCCTAAACCCTAAACCCTAAATCCTGGGTTCAGGTTCAACTGAGCAACATCAATTGGGTACTGCACCCACTCAGCAACAGTCGGAAAAGATTGATACTATGGATATATTAGGCCTTTAAGAGCAGCCCTATTATAGACTGTTACTGTATGGGGGCAGTACCCAAAACATCAACCTTAAGACTCCGGGGGTTTGGGTTTCTATGCCGAAGGACACAGACCCCTTCCGACTTCCTGTGCAGGTGTTGCAAGGCCTTGCCGGCTGCAGGTGTAGGCGGCGCTCTTCATATTGCCGGGCTTCCTTTCACCTTGAGCTTATGTTGAGGTTTTACTCTTGTCAGGTTTCGGGGGCTGTGCTGGGACGATGCCCTTCTTCTTCTTGCTGTGGTGCATCATTCTGCTCTCTCGGGTGCCGGGTTTGGGGTTTGATGGGGTTTGATACGTGAGCTTTACAGCGGCATTGAGGCCTTCCACCGGCAACTTGTTTCCCACTAACCAGGAACCTACGGCGGCATATCGCCTGAGGTCTCCTCCGGATCGCCAGCGGTCTGGTCAGGACTCTGACACTGTCGCCCTTGAAACCCCAATCCCTAAACCCCATCTTGGACGACTTGGGCCCCAAACTCTCAAAGAGCTCACCCCGAACTAAACCCCAAATCCCAAAACCCTGATCCCTCAACTCTCACGAAAAAAAACTCTGTCAGACGTGATGCGAGGTTGCCCGGCCTTCCCAAAGCATGGTACATGCGGCTTGCCGACTCCCCACTGGCTGTGACGTGGTTACATGTAATGTGGTTTGCAGGTTTGGATTTACGGTTGGGGTTCGGGCTGGGGGCGTAAGGTCATCTCTCCATCAAACGAAGGGTTTAGTGAGGTTCAGACTATGCACAGCTATGCGCGCATGGATATAGAAAGGTATGCACGCTTACATATCGACAGAGGTACGGGTGTGTATGCAGCTGTGCGTAGGTACGCAAGTATGTGCCTATGTATGAATGTATGTATGCATGTATCTACGTATGTCCGTCCGTCCGTCCGTCCGTCCGTCCGTCCGTCCGTCCGTCCGTCCGTCTGTCTGTCTGTCTGTCTGTATGCATGTTTGTGTGTATGTGTCTACGTATGAATGTCTCTCTGTGTGTGTATGCATGTATGTATGTATGTATGTATGTATGTACGTATGAATGTGTGCATGATTATGTGTGATATGTCTGTGTGTACGTGTGTAAGTATATGTACGCCATGTAGGCATGCATGTATGCAGGTGTGTGCGTGTGTTTGCGTGCGTCTCTCTCTGTCTCTGTGTTTGTGTATGCGTGTATGTTGGTGTGTGACGCATTCATGTATGCATGCGGTCTGTTGTCTGTTTGTGTGTCTCTCCGTCGGTATGTCGTTCTGTCCGCATGCTCGTATGTCCGTATCATACCTGCTTACATACATGCATACATACGTACATACATACATCCATCCATGCATGCATGCATGCGTGCATGCATGCATGCATGCATGCATGGATGGACACACACGGACACACATACATAACATGTTTATGACCTCTGACTGCTGTCCCGGCATGCCATCCGGTCGACTCCAGCACCCCCCCCGGTCCCCCGCAGCATCCAACCCGGAAGTCCCGGAACAAGCCGTAGACCCTAAACCCTAAGCCCTGCTCCATTCGAGGTGGCCCTCTGTGGGGTGGCAGCAGGAGGAGGACTGGCAACGACCGAGAACTTCATGTACATTTTTAGTAGCTTGGCATAGATGAAGCACATATTCTGCGTCTGCGGGGAGAAGTTGTCGTTTCTAGACTCTTGGAGGCAGAGGTCTGATTCTATGCATGTTGCACACCTCGACGAGTCCTAAGAACTCGAGGGTTGAGCCATGACTTGTCGTGGGGCTTCAAACGTCGATGCACGTACTGTAGGGTAGGGGCCGTAATAATTAGAATAGGGTTTTGGGGGTTCCTGATTATAACTATAGTATTAAGGTCGCCGGCGCAGCCTCCCTGCATGAGCTTGGATGATATCTTTGGTGTTCATCTTCTGAGATTTGAGCCGCTGTAGCCCAATCTCGAGCTGCTCTCCCAACGCCCAGCGCCACCCAGCCCTTGACTTCCAGCCTCGACGTCCTGAAGGTTGATGTCTACATTAGATTCTAAGCATTAGATTATGCATTAGATTATAGTATTTCTTTGTGGAGCCTCCAGACACTGAAATCCTGAACCGAGGCACAGAAAGCATTGACAAAGCTTTCAGAGAGGCGCGACTGAACTCGGTTTGTGGTTTCTCGGGGTGTTAGAGTGGGCGCGTGCGCGGACCCTAAACCCTAGACCCCTAAACCCTAAACCCCAAAACCCCAAACCCTAAACCCCATACCCTAAACCCTAAACCCCAAACCCTAAACCCTAAACCCTAAACTCTAAACCCCCTTCGGCGGAGAGAAAGGGCCATTGCACTTTAAAAAAAAACACTCTAAACCCCTAAGCTCCAAACCCTTGTGGCTTTCGCCCAAATTTTCGCAAACTCGGACCGACATGTCAGGGGTCGCAGACCCTGAAACTCAGACCCGAATCCGACTTAAAAACTCCCGCTGCGCCCTTAGGGCCTTTGGGTTTATGTCAGTTTAGGGCTCAAGTTTATAATTTGTAAGGGTTTAGGGCTTAGGGTTTATAAGATGTTCATAAGGCTTTGCCCGATGGTTGTCAGGACCCGCTATTGAGAGAGTTCTTGATTTTCGGAGGCCCTCCAGGATCCCATTGCAGGATTTTTGGTACGGGGTGCTGGGGTGTGGTGGGTGGATTCGTGTTCGTCTTGTAGGTAAATGCTGACAGACGTCTATGACTAGCAGTAGCTATCCTTTGGACTGCCCTTAGTACGCGAACCCAACTCCAAACAAAGCTTCATTTGAAGTCCAAAACATGCAGATGACCCCGGTAAGACCTTCAGGGAGATCTGGAGTCAGCATATGGCCGCATCGCGGCGTCCTTCGCCCACATGGTTTGGACAGGCGACCGAGCCGAGTTGTGGGGGGAATTCGGGGCTTACAAGTTTCTGCTGCAGCTGTGGAGTCTTGAGCAGTGATGATGGCCACTGAGGCATCCTTGACTAGCAGGCAGCAGCCATACACGCTGGTCCGGCCATGCAAACACAGTCCCGGGAATTGAAAACTGACGGTCGTACCCAAACCACTATACACCGTTAGGCCTTAAGCCCTTCAGCCCATCCACAAATCGCAAAACCCTTAAACCCCTAAATCCTCAAACTGAAACCCCAGCACTCTCAAGTCTCAACCGAGGCTACGCCGCTTGCGGCCTAGCAAAGTGGTTGCTTGTTGACATTATGAACCTGTCCATCTGGGGTGGGCGGTTTTAAATTTCACCGTTTTGGGGTCTTGAATTTAATTGATGCGACAGCTTGAGGTTCTGCATGAGGGTCCCGTGGTTGCTGAGACTCTGACCTCGATCATGGTGATGCGAGCAGCGTTGCTGGTGTCGGTGCTGCTTTACTTGTTTTGATGTTCATGACTTCGTGTCGATGGTGAGGACATGACTGCTCAGATTACGATCCTGATCACACAGTAACCCACATGGGTGGTTGTCCTAATTATAATACGGCACCAATTATTTAGGGTACCCCAAAGGGGACCATAATTTTGACAACTACCCACGTGAGGAGAGGGACTGTGGAATTGACTTCCGTTCCCTCCTTCGAAAGACTGTGCGCAGGGGCTATGGAATACAGGGCCTGATAAGCCACCGGTATCCCACACCCCCACACCCCCACACGTCTTTCGAGAAGGGCTATTTTTTTGGGTTTTTTGGCCGGAGGCACGCACTGAACCCGAACACTTAAGCCGCGTAGACTTCGGACGGGGGGTTCGGAAGGGCCCCCTTCAAAATGTTTGCAGCAGAGCATTTTCCAGATTAAAGTCCATCCTAACTATAACATAACTTACTGCTGTAAGCCATTCGCATCCCTGAACCCTA